ATTCAACTTCAAAGCTATGTTAGTGTATCAAATATTTAAAGTAGAAATAAAAAGCCGCTCAGACATGTATGAAACCATAATATAGCCTTTGACCAGAAAGAAAACCACCCATTGCCTTCATAAACAGCAATGAAAACATGGAAAAAAAAAACCCTAACTGCTAAATGTTGGAAATAGTTTTGAGGACTATTACATCTCCCTTTCCCTTTTTCTCTCCTTCAAGTCAAATACTTCTTGTTCTTAAAGGTCTAATTCATATTATAATCTCCTCAGTAAAGATTTCAGAGGCCATTACAATCAGTATTATCCTCATCTTAATTTCTTGATAACATACTAATCAATGTAATTAATATAATAATATCTTGTGAATATATTCTACCCCATTCATTTGGATTCACCAAAAACATAATTAATAGTGAATATCTACAGTCAGAGTTTATCTTTCTCTATATAGCTATAGAGCTAACCTTTCTCTATATAGGTATGTTAACTCACTAACTGATTTTTAAGTATCTCTTTTGGAATTATGATTGTACTTTTTGTATCTCCCACTGGCATACCAAGGTGTTTTGCATAGAGAAAAGCTTAGATAAATATTTATTTGACAACATTTTTAGCCAAAGGGAGCCAACAACAAGCTGTTCTATCAATGATTAACAGGAAACACAATCCCAAACCAGAATTTTTTGTGCCTTCCTATGATCTCCTCAAATTTCAAGAAGACATGTCCAGTCACAGAGGGTATTCATGAACATCACCACAATTTAGAAATCAGCAATTGCAAAACTTGTGTTGAAAATAATCATAGTAATTTGCCCATTTCGTGAAAGACATGAGTATTTTTTAATTAACTATATATTGTTCATCTCAGTGAATGTTAAGGGACCTCCCTTGTTCTCTCATTTCTAACAGATGTATTTAAGAATTAGGAAATTTTAATTTTGTGTCTAGTTTAAGAAAGACTTGCTATAAAACTGTCTGCAAATCCAAATGCCAAGAATTTGAAGTGTTTATCATATAATAGAACAGTCTGGGTTCCATTGAACTACACCAGCTTCCAATCAGAGCATATTGTATGAATTTAATGTAGGATTGTAATAGGTGACCTTCTAAAGTAATAAGGGAGAGATAAAGCAGTTTTAAAAATGAGAAAAATTGACAATTTAGGAGAAATACCTAGTTAAAGCCTCATCACACATTCCAAAATCTAATGAATGCTGGATGGTTTAAAGAGCAAGTATTTTAAGAAAACAAAAGAAAATTGAAAGAATATTTAGTTGACCAGTTAAATATTTGACCTCTAGATGAAGAAGATATTTAGGTATAAAATTAGTGGAAGAACTTGAAAAGGAAAGATTGATAATTTATATGGATTAAAATTTGAAACTCTAGGACTGTGGGTATAACTGTGAAGGTAATAAATAAAAATTAGCAAGTAGGTATTAACACCTACTTGGTGCCAGGCACCATTCTATATGTTTGGGATATATACATACACCCCTATATATATACATATACACACACATACATATATACACATGCACCTCCATATATATATATACACACACATACATACATACACACACATACACATGTAAGACAGAGATTCCTGTGTCCCTGCTGTAAACTTGTTATAGTGGTCAGTGACAATTACCAATTTATAAATGATCTTGTATGTGGAAAGATAAAAAGTGCTATGGAAGCAGGAATCTAGAAAACTTAAATAAGGGACCAGGAAAATGAATAACTATAAGAAAGTGAAAATCAAAATCAACAAAAAACTATGAACCAGAGACACTTTTTGAGGGGGGGGGCGGGAGGGGAGGGATTGGGTCAGAATGGGGGGATTGCAATTGTATGGGGAATATAAAAATAAAATTTATTATTTAAAAAAAAAGTGCTATGGAAAGGAGAAACGTTGCATGCACACATGTATGCAAGTATAATTTTCAGTAACATTGGCTCCAGGAGAATCACTGGAATGGAGTCAACACACAATTCTGTCTTGGTACTTTGCATTTGGGTAAGTTGACTCTAATGACTTGATGAAACAGTTCCTTTCAAATGGACCCAGAATTACCAAAAAGCAAATCCTGCTCATACTCTTATATTGTACAATTTCAATTTTGCTCTTATGCACATTAAACTAAATTGGTGGCTAAAATCTAGCTAAATGAATTTGACTCGATTAAGAAATGTGTGTGTATGTGCAGGCAAAGGACAGTCTGTGTGGGTTAAAAATGTGTGGTTATTTAAAATGTTCTTTTTTATGGATGACTCAGTTTTGCCACAGCTTCATTAGTGAGCTAAATTTTTGTTAATGTGGATCCATCTTCTGAGTTAAATAGGCCTTGACCCTTTGTTGAGAAATCACTCAACTAGTAGACAGTTTGTCCTTTCTGAAGAAAAGTAACATCATAGACTCAAAGGTTGGAACAATCTAGCATCTTCACATCCTTCCTGCTCCGACTCCATGTGACCCTCTTTTGCTATTTCTTAACAGTGTCACCATCTCCTTTTAAAAGACATTTTTCTTGCATATTCCAATCTTGGTTTTCTTAAAAGGCTCTAGTTGCTAGAGCTAGTTGCTGAGTTTTATCTGCCCTGGCCTAGTCCTTAGCTGCATTTCAACCCAATTAATTACCTTTCCAGATTTCTATTACAAATTGGTTCTAAGTATTTCAGGGGATGGAAAATACTTTCGAGGGTCAAAATATCCTAAGGCAAGGATAGAGGTTTCCATGTGACACATGGCTAATTCAACAAGCCTGAAGCCAGCAGTGGCCAATGTCACAGGGGTACTTGAGCCCTGCCTTCTAGATTCAGTCACCAGAAGTTCCACTCTGCTAAGATAGATGAGAAGAAATCTTGCATTTTATAGGTCATGGAAACATTAGACAGATGATAGGCTTAAAAAGCTATCAAGAATTTACTGAGAATTATCTATAAGTCCAGGTCAAAGAAATGTGTATTTGGGCTTCTCACACCCAGAGCTCCCTTGTAATGCCATTTTAGGCATTCCAGGCTAGAAGACCCCAAAAGTATTCAGTGGTTCCACTGTCTGGAATTCTCTGAGCATTTGCTTTTCTGGTTATGGTGATTATTGAACAAAAACTGTTGGAAGTGCAGTGAGGCTGCCCATCTTCTGACACTTTGCATGGCAGCCTGAGACTAGCTCTGTTCATATCCACACAGCTTCATGGAAGTTCACTGGTATTGTCAGCATTTAAGGAAGCTCAGAAGAATTTTCATTCACTAAACATCTAATTTTTTTTGCTTTATTTTTTCTCTTTGTTTTATTTTTTAATGGTGTTATAAGTTTTTTTTTCTCCAATTTTATTAATTTGTCAGTCATTTACATAACTACATATTTTGGGGGCTATATTTTCACATGTCCAGTTGTGCACATGCTTCACTCATCCTCCACCCTAACTGTCATACCACTGTCCTACTCTCTTTCTTTCTTTACCCCCCCATTTCTTCTGATAACCAACTTGACAAAGACAGAATCATTTATATACAGTAAAAAACACAGATGAATTTTAACAAATACATGTAGCCCACGCTTTAATAATGAAGCACATTTCTATCACTCCAGAAAATTCCCTTGTGCCCTTTCAATGACCTCTTCTCCCCAAGGTAACCACTGTTTTGATACCTCTTACCATACATAAGTTATACCTTTTCTAGATCTATATAAAAATGGATTAAGATAGCATGAACTCTTCAGTGTCTAATGTCATAAGTTTTAAGTCTCTACAAAAATCACCTCTTAGTTTCCTTATCTATAAATGAGGGAACGGCTTTGTAAGAATAGTGTGTACATATTCTGAGAGTCCGACATTCTTACGGGAGGAGTAGGGAACCCCATAAGTCACCTCAATTGGGGGGAGGTGAGGAGGAGGCAGAGAGAGGGGTTTGCTGAGGCCCTTCTCACCTTCAAACAGAATAGCTGTACTTTTCCATGTTTTAAGTTGGGTGGGGCTCAATAGAAGATTTCACTTGGGAAAAGGATTCTTTGTAAAAAGAAAAAATTAGAGGACCCCAGGTCTAGACGATCCCTACTGATGCCTTTTTTTTGAACATTCTATAAATTACAAATAGTGTTTTCTGACATGAGAGCTGTGGCTGGTCCCCTGGAGAAAGGGCTGGGAGACAGGCAGCCAGACGGGGGCCCCCAGGGAGGGCTGGGCATTGAGCCCTGTAATATTAGCACCGGTTACAATCAGATAGTGCCACCCCACCTGAGGCGCCTAGACAATAGGCCAGAGGCCCTGGGCAAGAGGAGGCACAAAGGCAGCATTCACAAGAACCGACTCTACAGCCAGCAAGCATTTCTATAGACTCCACCAGACCTTGGCCAAGCCTGAATGTCACCTTACAGCCAGAAAGCCATTTTTTCATGGTTAACTTTTAAACGGCTGAAAATAATAAACACAGAAGGGAAAGTGCTGACACAATCTTTACTGCAGAGACAAAAGGAAAGCGTTTTGTTACAATAATGTAAACAAACTGGGTTCCTAAGGAAAACTCAGGGTTGCAAACAGGCTGCTAGATGTTAGCAAACATCTGGGGATGAGAGGAGGGATATTCAGCGAAGAATGCAGAGCTTTACTCACAGGTGCTCACAGCTTACCTGACCTGCTCTCCCCATGGCTCATCTAATTCTTATGCCTTTCATGGCACTCAGGGAAGACAGGCTGGAGAGGGCTGATGGATCTTTACTTAGCACAAGTTTTCCCCAGACAAATGAAAAACAGACTCCACTCTCATCCTATCTTACTATTGCTCTTCTTCCATGAATGAATGTGGAACATTCCTTTTCTCCATTATATATTTTAGCTCATTTTAATTTCTCTGGAATACCACAGAGTTCAAAATCTATTGCTAAATCATAACAGCAGCAACACCACACTCTAGAAGATAACTCTAATAATGCTAAAAGTACAATCAGAAAGATAGCAAGTCTGCAAACAGCCAAGTCAAACTTGACATCTGACCTTATGATCCATTCAGTCACGTGTGGAACTTGGCACCCACGCAGGACAGCCAATGGGAGGGAAACCACAGATCTGTAAAAAAGGAAACATAAGAAGATAAATAGAAGTGCTTTTTAAAAAAGTTTCCTAACATTTGCTTAATCTGCAGTCACTCTTCTTTCTGTGTTTAAATAGGGTCTGGTTTCAGAGCAGTCTCTGATTTTTGAATAAATGCAAATAGACTTAGATAATATCTCATTCTAAAGGGGAGGTGGTTTCAGAGAAAGAGGTTTTAACACAAGATCTGTAAGAACATGTTATAGGCATAGGGACAAAATCTGTGGATCCCAAAGACCTACTTTTTGATGGACAGGACTCAGGAGTTTTGGAGTCCCAACCTGGGAAGGCGACTAAAAGGCAAGCATGAACCTTAAACAACCTCTAGAGTTTGTGCTCAAGAAGGGTCAGTGGGGGGTGTCAGAAGAAGGTCCTGGGGATAGTTCTTAAAAGCTGCGACCCTGCCTCAAGGGGAGGGTGCCCTGTGCATGGAACAAGACAGGTAATTTATTAGGGCTTGCATTCGACAGGAAGCTGTGGAGCAGTGTAGATTGTGTTAAATGTACTTGTACTGGTGACACTTCCCACCGCTATAAATTAGACGAGAGAGGTGGCCAGACTGTGGCATCTGGTGGACCAGCTGACCATGTCTCCAAGCATTTGTCTATACAGCACACAAGATGCTGCATGTGAACTGTACTCCACAATTGCCATTGTGGGTAACTTAGGAATTGTGGAAAAACAGAAGTTACTAGAACAAATGTCTGATTTTCTGCTCCCCAGAACAGACTTTGATAATACTTTGTCACATTTGCTCCTTTTTTTAATTAAAAAGAAAAATACAGTGTAATTATAATTTCCTAGACAACCCTACTCCAAGGCCAGACCATGCATTTTTTGTATCTTTTCAGTTTGCTTTTTAAAAACATTTTTGTATAATATATGCATCTAGGCAATGAACAGTGTTCATGTTTTTAATTACCTATATGATATGAATTTTGGTTTGATTCTTTTGATGACTCTTCTACAATTTTGACTCAACATTATGCATGTGAGAGCAAACTATGTTGACTGGTAACAGCTCATTCTCTAATTTCACTGCCACATTGAATAAATCTATGCTCAGTCATTGTCTTCTCACCCAACACCAATGTTTATGGCATCATAAAAGCACTTGTTATATCATTAAAGTGATTATTGGTTATGTGTGGGTGTGCATACATGTATATGTGTGAATTTCCTCTGCTACTTACGCTGAGCTCAAGATGCTGCCTTGCTGTGTGTTAATGGCGGCTCACCTACATTACAATTCGAAGCAGAATGGACACTCAAGGTGGAAAAGGCAAAAAATAATTGTTAAAAATGTATCTGTAGGTTACTGATTTTCCTTCCTCTTAAAACAACACTAAGGAAGACTTTGGTTTGTATTTACCTATTTTTCTCCAAAGTTTCTCTCACTACTGCTATCATAAATCTCCAAATGCCAAGATGTCAACATCACCTCATTGTTTCCTAGATGATCAGAAACTCCAAGCAGATGCAAAACCTACAATGTCAGGGCCAGAAAGGAGCTCATGTTTATAAATGTGGTTATGCCTTTATGGCAAATATGAGTCAATACACACCAGCATCCGTGGTGGCACTAACATCTCTTATATGAGCACAATTTACTTTTTGAGGGTTTAATCTGACTTGAACTTTGAAGAATAGATATGAACTTGACTCAGTGAAATCCTAAAAATTCTTATATAATGATTAATAAGCATTTTATGCATAATATTCATTAACCTTATTTAATGGGATGGGTTATGCTAAGTATTTAACCTAATTTCAATTAATTTAATTCTTACAATGATCATGTCAGGTGGATATTATTAATAACCTAGTTTTTCATGTGGTTTACAATTTTGCCCAAGTCAAACAGTGATTCGGAGGCTAGCCAGGATTTTTGTCCAGGTATATGATGTTATGGGCCTCACTCTGAATTTCTAAGAGTAGGCTTAGTAGGTATTAAAGATAAAACCATATCTCTATGGAAAAACAGTGTCCCCGAGGTAGCTTCCAAATTTTGCTATAATACTACTAGAAAGTATCTCTTTCCTGCTATGCCTCAAATCACATTAAAGTTCTCTAAGTAGACAAATTCAAAGTTATTTCCTAGTGATGAAGGAAATTTGAAGGAGCAAGGTCAAGCTACAGACCCTTCCATCTTAAATATGCCCATTTTAAATTCTCCTTCTTTTTAGAAAACAGGTAACTGTGAATTGCTCATGGCTCAGAGGAGTCTGCCCAGTTTTGTTTATACGAGATTCAAAGCAAAAATGAGAATCACTTTCTGGGACAACTTTAGCCCTGAATGTGTGTTTTTTACACATTTTTAATTGGGGCACAAATATATTAACAGTGTGGTTATTTTGTACTTTCAAAAGAATCTGTTTTGTAACTGATTCATATTTATATTTGGAATACATTTATTTTGGGGCATGAAACAGTTCATTTTGTTAAGCCATCTGACCTGAAGTGAGGTTGGCACACTTTCCCATGACTGCTTCCAAATTAATGCAAATTGTAGGTTAAAGGATAAATCAAGTCCCTTTAACTTGGTTTACTAATATGTTATTTATAAACAACCCTTTGCTTGGTCTACTTTTTTCTTGTGGTAACCATGCACAAATGAACTGTACAAAGTAAACCAGCAAATACTTAATGTATGTTATATTGCAAAGTTTTAATTTTGAAAGGTTAGTATTATGGCAAAAGTGTTATCTTCCTACCTACCTATCATTTATTTAACTACTTATCTCTTTAGTCTCAGATCTCCCATTGAATCTTATGAGGCTGAGAAAGACTGATTGCATTGTATGAAAGGCTTACATTCTTCACCCCTCTCTGTATCTACCCTTTTGCCATGTAACATTGCAGTTCCTCTCACTAAAGAGTTTATTTCCCTCTCTTTATAAAGTGGAGGAGCAACTCATGTTTCCAAGATACCATAATGATTTACTAAATTGAAAAGTTCCAAGATAAACACATATATCACTACTGCTCCCCTCCCAAGTTCCTAACAGATATTACTAATCAAATACAACCTTTCCTTACTGCTTTGCTTATTGCTAACACAAACTCCAACTTCTATATAGCGCCCCAGATAGCCACTATGATTTCTAGAGCAATTATTTTTATTTGTTGGTTTTTCTTTAGCTTCATTAGGATGAAGTTCTAATGAATGAATATATTTGATGAACTGTATTATATATTAATATGATCTGTATATATGTATTTGATTGCATATATCCTAATGTGGAACTCTGACTTATATACAATTTGGCTGTTAGCTAGATTTTACTCAAGATCATGAATCCACTAAATGTTAACTCAAAGCAATTAACAAGGATTTAAATTTAGTTGAATTGGGAGGGGGGAGTGAACTGGAGAGCTGCAAAGTTATTCTACTATTATCAATTCATCATAGTAAAGTTGTAAAATCAGCTCTTCTTATCACAAGCAACTACTAATGTATTCACTGTTTAGTTCTTAATTGTAACCACAGGCATCAATAGGTATATGGTATTGCCAGAAGTTATTTCCCTGTCAAAGCATGGTGACTTTTGGGTTGGTTTTTCAATGCCTCTGTGATGTTTTTCTTATCTTGGGATGTTTTCTGACAGTTGAAAAGTGGTCTTTATCATACATGCTTTCCATATAGGACCATAATGACAGATTCAAAAAACCTAAACTTTTTTTTTTCTGCTTGAAATCTTGATCAGCAAGAAAATAATTACTGTCTACATCAGTATGAAGACTTTCTCACTTTAACCCCATATCCCAAAGTTTGGCTTATTCAATGGGACACAAACAACTATTTTTTGAAACTTACATAGAAGAAAACACAGGCAAACACTCCATGACATTGATTTCATGGATGTATTTGGGGACTTGACTACAATGGCAAAGGAAAAAAAGCAAAAACCAAATGAGACTACATCACACTAAAAAGCTTCTGCACAGTAAAAGAAACTATCATTAAATTGAAAAGACACCATCCTAAAAGGAAGAAAATATTTGTACATCATATATTTGACAAGGGGCTATTATCCAAGACCTACAAAGAACTCATACAACTTAACAACAATAAACAAAAGGAAAAAAACCAAAAACAAATAAAAATTGAGCAGAAGAGCTAAATGGACATTTCTCCAAAGAAGACATATAGGTGGCCAACAAGTACATGAAAAAATTTTTGTTATTGTTTATCATCCAGGAAATGAAAAATTTGATTGGCATTCAGAAAATGCAAATCAAAACCACCTTGCGATATCATCTCACACCTGTGAGAATGGCCCATGTCAAGTGTTGGTGAGGATGTGGAGGAAAAGAAACCTTAATACTCTCTTGGTGTGAATGTGGACTGGTCCAGACCCTGCTGACAATAGTATGGAAGTTTCTCAAGACATTAAAAATAACATGGTGACTTTGGGGTTGGCTTCAGCAATTCTATTCCTAGGTATCTACCTGAAGAACACAATACTAATTTAAAGGGGAAATATGCCTTCCTACATTCATTGCAACACTACTTACAATAGCAAAGTTATGGAAGCAACCTAAATGCCCAATGACAGAGGCATGGATTATAAAGCTGTGGTATGTATACGCAATGGAATACTACTCAACTATTAAAAAAAAGATGAATTCTTGCCATTTGCGACATTCTGGATGGAATGGGATTATGCTAAGTGAAATAAGCCAGAGGAAGGAGAAAGACAAATATGAGGTGGTTTTGCTCAGATGTGGTATACAGTGAAACAAAACAACATACAAAATCAAACAAAACAAACTTTAGAAGTCTGACTAAACATTGAGTCTACCAGAGGGGAAGGAAAGCAAATGGAGGAGGGGACCCAGTGGACTATGGTGGAAGATTATGGGTACATTGGTGTGATGTGGTGTGGCAATAGTCACAACCGGAAAAGCTGTGACCCTTTCCTTTGAGTTATATACAGCGTAGTAGTTCAATGGTTCCTCAATAAACAATAATT